GATAGTTTGGAATGCTCACTGTCAGCTGTTTTATAAAAGTCTGAATTCAGCTTTCAGCTTACAAAAAGTGATTTAGGGGTGTCAGGATGTAGGTTGTACAAAAGCTGAATGCAAGAACCTCCTATCATAGCATCAGAGGAGAGATAATGTCATACATGTTTAATTAAAATGGATTTTGTGCTTGGCTTGAACATATTTTAAAAAATGGAAAGAGTGATTCATTTCCATCTATTCAGTGATACAGGCCCCAGATTTAGCATGAGGTGGAAGCATTGAATCTATTGGCCTCTCAGCTTCAGTCTTGCATCCTGGGCTGAGTTTAAGTCTAGTGTTTTGGGACAACAGGGGTCTTGCTAGTCAGACAGCTGCTTAATCTAGTGCTTGATTGAAGAAACCATTTCTTCTACCCCAGAGGAAAACCTGGCATTGTTGGAGTTAATGAAAAAGTATGTGATCTAAAGATGGCACCTTCCTAAGGGGTTAGGAAAACCAAACTCTTAGGAAGCTTTCAAAATTAGCTTTGTATTTAAGTTAATTTTTGCATTGCATGCTGTCTTTCAAAAATCTAATCCCCAAATAAGATATGACTATATTGTATTATAATCAAAACAGAATTTTCTGGGAGTGCTCCTCAGTATAGATATTTCAAGCAAATGTTTAAAAGGGAGAGATTTGTGACATAGCAGAAAATTCTGTTTCTTGCTAAGACTTAGCTGGAGACCCAGGGCCAGATACATAGTATATCTATTTCAGTTTCTTCCATTGTGAAAGAGCAAGTGGACTGATGATAGGTGTCTAAATTCCCTTCATGCTCTAACTTGTGAAGTAGAGAAAGCTGTACTGAAAGCAAGATGAAAGGAAGGCCTGAGGGTTATTTAGAACAGAAACTGAAAGTTTGTTTTCCTGCAACTTCTGAAGGACTAAAGTTCATTTCCATAGTGTGAGAGTTAGAGAGAGAACCTGTCCTGAGCCAAGGATGGTTGTATCAGACAGTGCTTCTTAATTTTTCTACCTCTTCTGATGGTGGAAGAGAATGAACCTGTACCACGAAGGGTCTGGGGGCTTGGTCCAAAGCCTTGAAAGCTTGAAATTTTTTTGAAATCTTATGTTTTATCTTTAAAATTCATGGAAATTTTGCCTTCTCTATAATATATGTCTTTCATGAAAATGTTTCTTTCTAAGTTATTGAGTAAATGAACTGTTTAGGAAGATGGACCATGTTTGATTTGCATACCCTATGGTATACCACCGTATGGGGAGATGGAGGTGGGGAGGGGGGAATACAAGTAACCAGTTCAAAGAAGTATTCGTAAGTGTCTGTGTTCCAGACTTCTTGATTGGAGCTACAATAAGCACCTTTTTTCTCAGGTGTATCTGTTTAGTAGGAAGACAGCCTACTTGCAGTAGGTGTTTCTGAGCATCTGGGTAGTATAATGAAGAACATTCTTGTTTTAGAGTCAGATCTGAGTTTGAATCCCACCTCTGGCACTTCCTGGTTTGTGATTCTCTTTCACTGGGTATAAAACAGGAATAATAATGCTTGTCTTGGAGAGTGAGTTTGAAGGTTATTGCCCTGTCCTGTGTCTTGCTTTGGCATAATAGGAGCTCAGGTGCTGGCTATTATATCCTTTTTGATTACTGGTGCATTGTTACATGCTCTTAATTTTTGCACTCATTGGAGCATTAGGTAAGATCTAGTAGCCACTTCAGAATATTTAACTTGTCTTACAGGTCTTTGCACAAAATCGTGTTTAAGAAACTTGAACATCAGCTCTGACATCTTGATCATACATATATATGTCACAATGCTTTTGCAGATAAAATATATAAATCAGAATCAACCAGAATGTTAATAATGAAATATTTAGATTATTCTTGCTAATAATATCTTTCTAGTGGTTGATATATCAGACTATGGTTGTTCTGTAGGATCCAAGCAGTATTAATAAACAATAGCCAATAGTCTAATAATAGTATTTATGGTAATGGCATTCATAAATCTTAATACATTTTCTGGCAGGGGTTAAGCCTCTCTTTCTGAGCCATTACTTCATTCTTCAGTCTCTGTGAGCAATGGAAAGCCTTTGAATGAGGGCTCTGAATGACCTATTGTCACTACTTTCTTCTTTCTTTCAGACTGTTATCTTACCCTCAAAGCACAAAGAAATTAGAAATAATCTTATCTGCAAACAATACTGAAACCTGTTTAACTTGTTCTTAATCTTTTTTCCCTTGGTACTGGTATCACGGAGTTTAAATTCAGATGAAGATTTTGTTCATTAAAATTGGGAGAATAGGGGCTTCCCTGGTGGCGCAGTGGCAGTGGTTGAGGGTCCGCCTGCCGATGCAGGGGACACGGATTCGTGCCCCAGTCCGGGAGGATCCCACATGCCGCGGAGCGGCTGGGCCCGTGAGCCATGGCCGCTGAGCCTGCGCGTCCGGAGCCTGTGCTCCGCGACACGGGAGAGGCCGCAGCAGTGAGAGGCCCGCGTACCGCAAAAAAAAAAGGGAGAATAGGGAATTCCCTGGCGGTCCAGTGGTTAGGACTCCGTGCTTCCACTGCAGGAGGCATGGGGTTTAATCCCTGGTCGGGGAGCTAAGATCCTGCAAGCCTTGTGGCGCAGCCCAAAAAAAAAAAAAAGGGGAGTGTATACTAAGCAAATTAAAAAATTTCTTTGCTGAAAGTAGTATATAACTGAAAACTTTTAATTTTCACTTAACGTTTTTTAAAAACTTATTATTCTTATTTATTTATTTATTTTTGGCTCAGTAGTTGTGGCATGTGGGCTTAGTCGCTCCACAGCATGTGGGATCTTCCTGGACCAGGGCTCAAACCCATGTCCCCTGGTTTGGCAGGCGGAGTCTTAACCACTGCGCCATCAGGGAAGCCCCTTGTGCTGGTGCTGCCAGCATCATGACAGAGGATCATACTGAGTATCGCTAGCCTGGGAAAAGATCAAAATTCAAAGTACAGTTTCTACTGAATGCATATCGCTTTCACACCATCATAAAGTTGAAAAATCTCAAGTGAGACCTTCATAAGTCGGGGACCATCTGTATAAATTTCACATTATGGAGAAAAGAATTCACCTCAGAATACAAATTTCTGTATGTGTTTGAAGCAGTTTAGCTTCTTTAATTTGCAAAATTTGAATAGCAGAGCCTTGTTTTTTGTTAGGCTTGTGGAGACTACATAATTAGCCAATTCTAATAGATTCTTAATTCAACATTAATTTTAAAAAGTCTTTATATAGGCACTGTGAAATAATGGAAGGAGTATGAATCTCAAATTCAGAAGATTTAGGTTCAAGTTCTGCCTGTTAATAATTTGACCTTTGGCAAAGGTTTAAATATTCTGAGCTTTTCCTTTCTCTGCATAGTATAATAATGCCTACTTTGCCTGTCTCACGTGTTTACTACAAAAATCAAATGAAATAACTTATAAGAAAGGAACATTTAAATACTAAGGTGAATTTGGTCTATGCATGAGGGAAGTTGATCTAAATGAATGATGCTGTCTGCCTCCATCGTAAGTGAGAGTTAAGCTGTAGTGACCCAGCACAGCAACCGAGCAAGACTGAATACAGAGGAAACCCTGACTCAAGAATAGTAGACCTTTTTTGGAAAAAGGTGACTAGGCTTCATGAACAGTCAGTTATGCTGCATGAGCAATAAAATAAAAAGCAAACATATTTAAAACTGAATATGATTTTAGAATGTTAGAGCTAGAAAACATCTGGGATTTTCTAGGGAACCCTCTTATTTTACAGATGAAGAAACTGAGGGTTATCCACTAAGTTTTGTTTTTTTTTAAAATAAATTTTATTAGAATAATGAAAAATAATACATGCGGATAACCATAGGATACACACATAGGAATTTAAAGGTAAATTTTATACTTTTCAATATGAAACAAAGTACATATCTCATGGAGATATATTTCTAGAGATGCCATGAAACAATAGAGTAATAATCTTGAAAAGTATCGGAACATAATATAGGAATTACTAAATAATAAAAAGGTTCAACTCCATTACATGTAGCATAAAATACAGATATTGGAGAAAGTTTTATAGAGACAAAATAAGATGCATTTCTTAGGGTGGTTAAGGAGACACAAGTTTTTGAAATCAGTTGTATGAGGCACTGACTTAAAATGTAATATCAGGCAATGTAACCTCTCAGCCTGTTTCTTCATCTGAAGATTGGGGCTAGTAATAACTTCCCCTGTTGTACTATTGTAGTAAAGGAAATGATATGTGTAAGATGCTTAGCACATTTATGGCACATGGTATGCACTCAAGAAATGGTGCCTCTATTATTACTATTATTTTTAGCTGTTATGCAGAATCTTCCAGGACATTATTCACTCCCTCCGCTTAATTTGTTTGCAATATGGGCTAACGGCCCAGGCATCTTTCACTGGAACAACCCAAATAGTACTCTTCATGTGTCTTTTTTGTGCATCTACAAGTACGAGAAAATTACTTATGTATCATAGTATTGAAAGAGAAGGTTATTCTTAAACAGATTAAAAACAAAGTTTAAAAACAAAAGGCAGAAAGTCTAATGTAAATGATCATCTGTTTGTTGTTTAAGTTGTCAAAATTTAATAAAGAACTGAAATGGTTTAAGTGCTTAAGAAGTATGACTTAAGATGGATCTTATGGGATATGAAAATCATCTCCTGCCCTTAAGCAGTTTCCTTGAATAAAATGACACAGCAGGTGTCACAGTTTGGTAACTTTTATTTCATTCAACCCACTAAACCCTTTCCTTGTTAAGTATCACTGTCTATGTAATGTATGTTTAACAGAGACAGGACTGTCTTATTCATCTGCTGTGCCTCATCTGGTGCCTTGAACATGACAAGCCCTATGTGTTCATTTTTTTTTTAACAGATTTTAGTTGAGGAAAAGTTGTGTACAGAATTATTTAGTATCAATGAAGACATGTTATTTCAAAGGTTAATTATAGATTTAAAACATTTTTAATTTCAGACTTCCTTTTCTTCTGGGGAACTGTATTTTTGATAACAACAACTTTAGTTGCCCTTCTGAAAAAAGAAAACAAAGAAGTATCAGTAGGAAAAGAAGAAACCCAAGGGATCACAGATACTTACAAGCTGCTTTTTGCAATTATAAAAATGCCTGCAGTTCTGACATTTTGCCTTCTGATTCTAACTGCAAAGGTAAGAGATTTATAAAGCAAATTCCCCATTCTGTTACAATTAACAATATCATGGAATACTTCTGTTGCCTTTTCGTAAGTCCCTTTCCAGTAATATTAGAATTTAACAATAAAAACTAATATACTTTGTTTACTAAATGTGTTTTAAAAGGTGTGATGATATCAAATCAAACATAACTTCAAAGTAAGCTAAATGTCTTAAGATCTTGAAAAAAATTATGCCAATTTGAAGTACTTCTAATAAATGTGAGTTTTTAAATGAATGATATTAATGCTTGGAATGGAAATGAATACCTTAAAAAAATAATAGCTCTCTACTGTTAGAATGAGTATATACCTAATGTCAAAGGTATTAAAATTATTTACTTAGAATGTAATTTACAAAGATATGGAAATGTATGATTATTAGAAGTCCATTTAAAAATCAGTTGGATTATTTTAAAATGTTAGACGGAAATATACTATGAAATAAAGGGGGGTTTTGGTGACTTTTTAAGAATTCTGTATGTTTTCTGTATTAAGATGTCTTAATTTTATAGTTCTAAAACATTTTAAAGAGATTATGTTAGAAGAAAGGTAAGTATATTTTGTTATAGTGAACTATTGCTAGTATTGGAATTAATATCCTAAAATATAAAATCAGTTATAGGATTTTCATATTATATTTAAACCTATCAACATAAACACTTTCACAGCTATCTTTTGATAACCCTAAAGTAAAAATTACAGCCTCATTGTTTTGAAGTACTGAGTTTTTCCTCCTCTCTAAGGATAAGGAGGGTTACATTTTTAGGAAATGTTAGGAAGGTTTAAACTTAAGGTTCAACTTTAGAAATGCTAAAAGTTTCAAGGAAGATAATAGTATTATCTAATTATATCATTTAGAGATAACCATTGGTAACATTTTTGGTATATTTCCCTCCAGCCTCCTTTTTTCCCCTATGTATGTATGTGTGTGCATGCACATGTGTGTACATAAACTTGACATATATAATTAATACATTAATTATAATTAAGAATTAATATTAATATATATACACACAAATACTTTAAAAGTGGAATTGGATCATACTGTGTATAATTTTTTATTTTGTTATTGTCTTATTCCATATTCCTGTATCATTAAATAATATTTTATAATATACTTTTTAATAGCTATAAATTGTCACAGTATATAAATTTGCCATAATGTACTCATTTTTCTATTGTTGTATATTTAATTTGCCATGCGTTTTAATTATAAAAATGTACTAGTGAATATTTTTGTGTGTAACTCTTTGGTGTTCTGAATATTTCCTTCCAATAGATTCTTAAGTGAGGAATTAATGGATCAGTGAATATGATTGTTAAATTGCTTTTTAAAAGATTTTAATAATAAATTATACTGTCACCAGCAATGTATAAGGAGTTGCTTCAAATACAGAGTCTAGAATCCCATGTTCCCCCTGTAGAGTAAACCTCACCAAAAGTAACATCTCTCCTAACTTTTAACACCATAGATTAGTTTTCCCTGCTTTTGAGTTTTATATAAATGGAATATCCAGTATGTAGTCTTATGTCTAGCTGTTGTGCTCTTTCACTCAACATCATATTTGTATAATTTATCCGTATTGTTATTTATTAAATAACAATAGTTTGTTCATCTCATTGCTTATAATATTCCATTGTATGAATATGCCACAATTTATCCATTCTATCAACAAATGTTTAGGTTATTTCTACTTTTGAACTATTATTAATAGTGCTTCTATGAAATTTCATGTAAATTACTTTTGGGGAACATAGGTGAACATTTCTGATGGGTAAATACCTGGGAGTAGAATTGCTGGTCATTAAGAAAAGCATAGTATATACTGCCAAACAGTTTTCCAAAGTCATTGTTCCAATTTTCTCTACCACCAGCACTGTAAGGGAGTTCTAATCACTAGGCAGCCTTGAAACCACATGTATTGTCTTTTCAATTTTAACCTTTCTGGTGGGTGTGTAGTGGCATCTCATTATAGTTATAATTTGCATTTCCCTGATGACTAAAGAAGTTGAGCATCTTCTCGTATGATTATTGGCCATTTGAATATCCAGAGTTACCCTTCTCTTTAAATTTGTAGAAGTTTTATTTTTTATATATCCTGGATATGAGTTTTTTTATTAGATATGCGTATTACAAATATCTCCTGTACCACTTTTAAGACAGAGTAAATGTTGAAGTCGGTTTGTGTATCTAATGTTTACAAAGAGAATGTGTTAAGTATAAGTGAAATTCTTTTCTGGACTTAAATGAAATATCTCTGACCTTTAATTTTTTATGTGAAATTTGCTTTTTGGCTCCATTCCGAGAAGTTAAAGTATTTAAAAGTATTTAAAGTAATATTTATCATTAAAAAAAATTTTTTATTTGTATATTTTCACACTTACTGAAAATTTACTTGTATAGTTGAAAGAATGTCCATATATGTTTATCTAAATTCTGTGATTTTTAACATTTAGCTCCACTTTCTTTATTCTGTAAATTGTGCTATTTTACATATTTCTTATGAAGTATTTGAGAGTAGTTTGTACATATCATGTCCCTTTATCCGTAAATACCTTAAGTATGTATCTCCTAAAAACAAGTACTTTCTCTTACAAAGCCACAACTTAATAAAAAATTAGGAAATTTCAATTGATATAGTACTATTTTCTAATCACAGTGCATATCCAGATTTCACCAGTTGTCCCCAGAGCAGCCTTTATAACTTTATTTGTTCCTGGTCAGGGATCCAGTTCAGGATCACACATTGCATTTAGTTAGTATGAGCCTTTCTTTGTCCTTCACGACCTGGACACTTTTTTAAAAAAAATTTATTATTTTATTTTATTGGCATATAGTTGATTTACAATGTTTTGTTTCAGGTGTACAGCAGAGTGATTCAGTTATACATATACAATATATTTATTCTTTTTTAGATTGTTTTTTCATATAGGTTATCACAGAATATTGAGTAGAGTTCCCTGTGCTATATAATAGGTCCTTGTTGGTTATCTACCTTATACATAGTAGTATGTGGTTACCTGGACACTTTTAAAGAAGACAGACCAGTTATTCTGTAGAATGGCCTTCCATTTATGTTTGTCTAATGTTTCTTCATGTTTAGGTTCGTGCTGTGTATTTATGTCAGAAATATCATAGAAATAATACTGTGACATCTTCAGGGAATTATATCAGGAGCCATATCATGTCCCTTTATCCATTAAATATTGTTGTTAACCTTGATTACCTTGTTAATCCATTGCAAAGTTACTATTTTTCCTTTTGTAATTAAAAACTAATTTGTGGGGAAATACTTTGAGACTATCTAAATATCTTATTTCACCTCAAACTTTTACCCACTACTTTTAGCATTCTTATTTGTTTTTGTTGTTTTTAAGAATTAATTTAACTATACCTTTTCTTACCCCTCATTTAACTCAACCTCTTAGATATAATGTTTTCTCAGAATTATTTTTGAAAAGCTAGGTGACTTTTTGGAAATTTTGTTGTCAGTCAGAAATCATCAAAAATGCGTATGGTTTGTGGCAATGATGCTTCATTTTAACCAGATTTATTTGGAGTCAAAGGCTTTTCTTTTAAACTTAAAATATACAAATCAGTAGGTTTGGACTTGGACTCTGTTTATTGTAAGATATAGAACTTTTTGAAATGGAAATTTATTTGTAATTAAAATTACAGTTCCTAAGAGTGCTGAATTTTCACTTGTTTTCACTTCATATTGTTAGTAGACCATAAGGGCAAAGTGTACCTCCATAACTTGATTGCTGTACCAGATATAATAATATGATACTTACTTGTAACTGGCATGGGTCAATAATGAGACTGAGGTTCTTAAATTACTTACATATACTTGGAGGAAAATATTTCATAAGTCACAAATTAAAATATTTTTTTGTTTTTATATTGCAGATTGGTTTTTCAGCAGCAGATGCAGTAACAGGACTGAAATTGGTAGAAGAGGGAGTACCCAAAGAACATTTAGCCTTATTGGCAGTTCCAATGGTTCCTTTGCAAATAATATTGCCTCTGATTATCAGCAAATATACTGCAGGTCCCCAGCCACTAAACATATTTTACAAAGCCATGCCCTACAGGTAAAAATGAAATGAAACCTTACTAAATAAGAGAAGTTAAATAAGGAGCGGTTATCAGTATCACTAATATCTGTGTATAGAGTGTATATGGGAAAAGGCTTGAAAAACATCTTTAACTTCAGTATCATTTATATGCACTTTTATCTCTTTTTAACTTCCTAACAGGTTTTAGATACAGGCTTCTTTCATATGGTAGGCACACAGATTTCTGTTTTTGTTATTGTTTTTTAACCTAAAATGGAGGTCAGCTCCACCTTTCTTTCTTTTTCTATAGATTATTGCTTGGATTAGAATATGCTCTACTGGTCTGGTGGACTCCTAAAGTAGAACATCAAGGGGGATTCCCTATATATTACTATATTATAGTGCTGCTCAGTTATGCGTTACATCAGGTAAGCTTGCCATGGTTTTTCCCAGGAAGTAAACTGTCCTATGTAAAATAAAGAAGAAGTTCTTCTACAATTGCCTTAAAATGATGATAATAAATTTTAAGATTTAAGCACGAATCTGTTTCTGAAGAAATTACTTGACAGTGAACTTTAAACCTTGTGGATTTTATTTTTTATATTTTTATTTTTTGGATTTTATTTTAATGAGTTTTATTCATAGAAAGAGAGTTTCTTCTTCATTCACTTCATTTTTTTTTCTTTTGTTCATTCAACAAATATTTGTTACATTTCAGAATTTATCCCAAAGTTAATTAAGAATTCTACCCTTGCTAAGTATCCCTCAGTTCATCCCTAGATTAGGGATTCTTTCCTTCTTCTAGTCCCGGTATTTTCTTTTTTCTGAAAGTATTGAGAAATAATGACAGCTTCTAGATTATACGTCCCAGGTTTTTGGTTTAGATTCTGTATTAAATTTTTCTTTCTTTCTTTTCCTTTCTTTCTTCCTTTCTTTCTTCCTTCCTTCCTTTCTTTCTTTCTTTCTCTTTCTTTCTTTCTTTCTTCCTTTTTCTTTCTTTCTTTTTCTTTCTTCCTTTCTTTCTTCCTTCCTTTCTTTCTTT